TTGTTATTACCACACTTGTGAATATAAAATTTTGAGTAATATATATTATCTCCAATTACGTCATCTATTTTGATAAAAGCGCATCTGATCCTTTTGATTGAGGTAAAACCTTTGTAATGTACTTTATAATACGATGAGGTTTGTGGCGAGCTTTTGGATGTTGCTCTCCATTGCACTAATTGTTGGATTTCGTGTTAAATGGATTGTTTTGTTATTCGTACTTTGCAAAAAAAAATCATCAATGGAAGCTTTATTTCGTACTCCCATAATACTTGAGACGTAGAAATAGACATGTAGTTTTAAAAAACTACAAGTAGCTCCATTTAAATCATTTGTTTATTGTATAAAATATTCTCTTTTGTATTTTTATATTACAAGAAAACAATAAGTGGGGTAAGAGTGGGGTAGGTGAGGAAAGAGAAAATGTGAGAAAATATTTTTTAATTAATAGACCCATTCAATATTTAGTAACGTGTCAAATATTTTGGGACAAACGAAAAAAGGAACTGTGTCAAGTATTATGGGACGGAGAGAATAGTAGTTTATTGTGTCGATGATTAAGGAAAACAGTTAAAGAACTTTTTTGGGGTATTTTTTTTAGTCAACTGAAATCAACAGCCTAATTTACATAATGATAATCAATGGTGTAGAATTCGTTTTTATAGTACTACAAAACTGTCCTAGATTAGATAAGAAAAACCAAAAGTCGGCCTTCAAAATCTAATATATATAAATAAATTAGGCATTTTTGAAGAGCATTCGGCGTGCATATAAGCAAAAGTATATTTTCGACAATTAAAAATTAGATTTCTATTTTATTTTGAAATTAAAAAATCGTTTGCCACCTAAATAAAAGTGATGAATGAGATTTAAGAATTTTGCCACGTAAGTAAAAACAAAGAATATTGATTTATTAGGATTTAAATTTATTTAAAAAACTAAAAATTATCTTTTAAAATAATCATCTTTAGATATAGGATTTATATACCTACTATTATAAGATAAATTTTAATAGTGTTTATGGTAAGAAATAAAAATTATTCCTTAATTATAATTAAATTAAAATTTGTGATATTTACCATTATAAATTGACGCATCATATGACACCAACAAAATTTTGTATCAATACAAGACCAAACCAAGCAAATTTTGTGTCATTAATTTTGTGTCAGTTTTATTAGGTCATCAATGGTTGGGTAATTCTTAGCCTAATTTTTAAAACCCATGTTAAATATATATTTGTGATTATTGCTTAAATTGTGTTTATTTGGGATACTTAATGATTATATGTTTATGTTTTGTTTACTGAATTTTGTTTTTACATGCAGATCTAATTTAATCAGAGAATTATATTCGAGCAAAAATCTTTGGAATATCTAAGTACGAGTTTCTCGCCTGATGATCCTATTGGATGAGGAGGTATTATATCCTTATAAATCGTTTACATTTATTAAATCTTTTAATGAATCTTTTAGTTTTTATCAATTAATTTTATGATTAAAACAAATTTTTTGTGATTTAGGTCGCTTAATTAAGTCATAAAATTAACTTAATTTTTTATATTTAATTACAGGGTGATTACATTCATGTGTCAATTAAAGTCAACTTTGTTCTACAATTTCGTTCAAAATTGATTGAAGGAAAAGTTTACTCCATTAGATATTTTTCATTCATTACAAATAAGAAGCAATATCGCACGCATTGCCAGCGACAACAAAATAATGATTCAATTTTCCAAAATACTATTATTGTTTGGGCAATTGGGGACGATGAAATAATTCCAATGCATAGATTTAATTTTGTATAATTACAATTTTTTGATTAATTTCACAACAATTATTCTCTTTCTGGTAAATATTTTTAATTTATTTTATAAGACTATAAAGATTAATTTTATAAAAATTTTATTTTTGCTAACATGTTCTATTTTATCCATTTTTATTAGATGGAAGAGATATGGGTGTGAATTAAGTTGGTGATCCTATCGAAATTTTTTTTTAATACAAATTTTTTTACATCGAAATATTACATCTAATAACTATTATTTTTAAATGTTCTTATCAAAATATTTATTAGGGAAATAAATTACATAAAATTAATAAAAAATTATACTTAACAACAAACAATAGAAAAGTAATCAAAAATATTATCAGTATGATCTAATTACAAAAAATTATTTTTATTAGATTTTATGTATAAAAAACCGTGGATATTAGGATTTAAATTATTAAAAACAATAAAAATTATCTTATAAAATTAATAGTTTTATCTAAATACCCGATTAATAAGATTTTTTTTCATAAAAAAAATTTAAAACTTACAACGCAATAAAAAAACTTTACCTTCTTTGAACATTTTATGTCTAAAAATTGAAAAGACAGATAATTTGTTAGAGATCAAGAGATCACAAAAAATATACAAAATGATATATAGATTCGAGAGTTTTAGTTTCAAGTGTAAAAAGCAACGAATAATGATTTAGGATTTAAATTATTTTAAAAATAAAAAATTATTATCTTTTCACATTAAAGATTTTATCCTAATATGTAATCAATGAAATATTATATTTACAATTTTTTTTAAAGATATCATATTATTGTCATATAACTAATAACAACGGATTAAAATACAAAACAACGATAAATTAAGTCGCATTGTAAATTACATTAAAAAAATTATACTTTTGTAATTGGAAATATCATTTTAATTAAATTATTATTTGTTTTTTTTACTGAAATTATTAAATTGTAAAATAAATCAAATAATTATAATAATAAAAAAAAACTTAGGGTATATAGGAAAATATCTTTTCTGTGAGATATATGTATGAAAAATCGTGCATCGCACGGATTTTCATCTAGTATTATAGAAAGTAGGTATTAATCATTTAAGTAATCCATTAAGAGAAAATATATATTTTATAAATTAATTTAAAAAATTAAATTGCCGAAAAAAAATTAATAGAAAGAATATAATCAATACATAGATTTTAGTCAAGAAAAAGGCTAAAAACTTACAAACTGAGTGAATTTTATTAGAAAACTAGATTATTTCTGTGCGATGCACGGTTAAAATGAATCTTTCTTGTAATTTATGTTCTGTTGCATTATATTCTATATAAATATTATAATTAGATATAAAAATAATTTTCATTTAAGGATATATATGAACCACATTATTTACAATTAATAATTGAAATAGTCAAAAGAAAATTATTTAGGGAATGTATATTAATGAAATCTGAAGAAGAAAAAAAATACATAGTATATAATTAGCACCAATGTCATCAAAATTATATTTTTAGTTATCCAACAATTAACAGTTTGTATAGTAGTTTGTAGAAGCATTTATTTGATTTTTTTAGTTAAAATTCATAAAACAATTTTCAAATTAATAAAAATCGAGTAGTTCAGCTTTAAAAAAATAAAAAATAAAGATGATGTCATTAAAGCATTTAGGCGGAATTTTTTTTATGAGAAAGCGATATGTGTACAAATTTAGAGAAAGATAATGTCAGCATGTTTTGTTTTAGTATTAGTTAATAGATTTCTCTTTCTTATCAACCCTATATATGCTACTTTTTTAATTATTTTCTCTCTCCTACCAATAATACTTTATATTATAAAAAATTCTCTTTTAGGCCCCATCATGTAAATTTTTTTAAACTTTGTTAACATCCTAGTATTGCGATTAATACGAAACGAAGAGGGTAATTCAATCATACACAATTTTTACTTGCCAAAAGAAAAATTTTTATTAAAAGAAAAAACTTTAATTTAAATTAATTTGTACCCATACCAAAGATGTTAATTTATTAATGCATTAGGCTTTATATAAAAAAAATAAAAAATAAATAAAATAAAATAAAAAGATAAGAAAATAAATTTAGGAATTATGAGATCTTTATAAGAAAAACTTTTTTTTTTCCAGTGTTCCAACCGATTCACCCTTTGGGCTAATCCGGATTCGGGGATCAGTTTTGGGTGGTTAGATTCCAGTCCCCTCTCAATTGCTGTTGCGGGGGATCGAACACGAGTTCTCCCTAACAAATGTAGTCTCAATCACCACTGCACCAACAACCAATTGGTAAAAAACTTTATAAATATTAACTTTACTATATAGGAAGGTTATATTACAATACTATGCTAAATATAATTCTAAGAAAATTTGACAAAAAAACAAAAGGAAGTCTTTGGGAGGAAAAAAAAACAAAACCAGAAAGCGACACAAGTCATTTCCGATGTCTGTTTTATTATTATGTTATTGATTAAAATCACTTCTCCACAAAAATGGCACGGGCAAATATGATGCTACACCTCTTTACTGTTAGGTCTTTTGCTCCTTAGCAAATTTGCAATATTCAGTGTTTATTTCAAACACAAGGAAAGAGAGTCCATAACTTGGAGTGCATATGTACAAGAATGAATATGTACTTCTTACTAGGTCTTATTTCAAACGCAATACTTAGACGAACAAGTGCTAAAGCTGTGATTCATGATCTACATCGATGCTTGATATCTAGGCGATCCGACCATTCGGGCATCAATGAAACCAACTCAGTTAATTACTTTTTGTTTAACAAAGACAATAACTTAATACGAAGTAACAAATGGGCTTTAAGGCAGGCCATGACCTGGGTATGTAGGCCCATCCTTGAATACTTAGATGTTGTTTAATTGACAAATAAAAACATGAAAAGTTGAAATTCCTAGGAATTGAAATTATTTGGAGTTGTTTGGTTGAAAAACTCATGGAAAGTAGAAATTCTCATGAATTCCCACTTCCCACAAAATGGAGGAAGTAAATTACCTAGGGGGACCTAAGTGATTGGAACTTCCCATGGGAATTTCCACTTCCCTTAGTTAACCAAACACTTTTTTAGAATTTCCTAAGAAGTTTAATTTCATGGGAAATCAAATTTCCAAGGAATTTGCAATTCCTTTATTCAACATAACAAACCCTTAATAGACGAATAAGTGTTAAGCTATGAATCACGATCTTCATTCTGATGCAATCAACCCTAGGGCAGAGCGAAGACTTCTGACCAAACCTTTCACATTGTTCTTAAAGCCCTCTTCCATCTGCATAAATCAAACAAAGCTTTATTATTATGTAGCATAAGTCATAAGTGGAAAAATTCAATTCACGCTAAGTATAAAATCTACTCCGTACCATACATAATTACCTAATTAACTTTAGACTTAACTTTTTTTAACGTATATTAAGTAAATAAAAAAATATAAAAAAAAACAAAATAAAAAAATAATAAAATAAAAAAACAAGAAAGGTAATGGTGCAAATGATTTTAACAATTTATGCACGACTTGTTTGGTTTACATTTTACTCATGAGAAAATACATGTTTATCTTCATGATAATAAAAAAATAAAAAAAAAAATTTATCTATTGGCATTTCTATAAATAAATAAATAACTTTTAGCAAAGGTGAACCCACTAATATTGATTTATTTACAGAAATGTCATGCTTATTGGGATTTTAAGTTGATTTAATTACACAATTGTCACTAGATAAATGTTTTTTCGTTTATCATGAAGATGAATTGGGGCTCCCTCTTTTACTCATATGCATCCATGCTGATTTAACTTGTATCAATTCATTTACGTAGTACTTCGTATAACATAGCAACTAGAAAGAAAAAATCAGGCCGGTGGTAAGATAAGATAGAGGAATGAATTACCTGTGCAACAATGGTAATGTCTAGGGTCAAGTTTTCAAATGGTATGACACCGCAATTAGTAATGCTCAAGTCATGCCTGACCACTACTGCAATCAACTTGGATATAATCCCTTTACGTTTTTCACAGTAAACTTTTAAGAGAAGGGTATTATCTGATATTTTAACTTCGATTTCTAGAGGTGAATTCTTATAAAGATTATCTTCATTATTGTTGTCACTACCATCATTGCCACCACTGCCACGACCGCTAGCACTAATAATGTCGTCGACAAGAATAGAGGAACTGAGGAAGAACCATTGTCATCATCGTTGCCGTTGTCATCATTATTCATTGGCAATTTATATTTCTTAACCATCACCATAGACTTTGCAGTGTTATGTTGAGCAGCAGCCACTTCAAGTTCTTTCACTTTTTCTTTAAGTTGTTTCATGTGTTTGATTGCGTCTCCTAAGATTGTTGTTTTTATCCATCTGTTGGCATCAAGATATACATACATATATACCATTACATTACACTTAATTATATAATTACTGGTAAATCAAATTGAATGATGACATGTAAAATAGAAGCCAATCACATTACGCCACTTACTTTAATTATGGTAATCATCATTTTTTAGATGACCTTTGTAAAATCATCGGTTGGTTTTCGAAAATTTTTACAATCTGCTTTTTTTTTTCACTATTATACATGTTTCGGATGAAAACAATCGAATCTCGGAAGATCCTTTTATCTTGAGGGAACTTGGTCTCGGTCCGAACGACGCCGGAGCCGAGGGTTTCCTGCACAACAAATACACGTAAACTAGCCTCGGGGGGACGCCGAGGAAGGCCCCTCCGATGCTTAAGTCAGTATATTAGAGAGAGAAAGCTGTGCAAGAGTTTAGTTGCTTGAGGCTTTATTGTCTTTGTCTTTGTCTTTGTCTTACCAAGAATTGACCAAATTGTTGGCTTTTATACCTTGGCTAATGAAGGAGGCGGATTGGGCCCGGAAATCAGTTGGGCTGGGCCAAGCTGATTGGGCCGTTGACTGACCTTGACATGGCTTTGAGGATGTTGATTTTTGACTTTAGCATATTTGGAGAGTTGAACCTTTGCCTTGGGCTTTTAATTGGATCATTCAGTGACCAGGCCCAATTGGACTAAATTGGACCCAAACAACTTGCCCCCCAGACCCGATTTGGAAGGATGACGGGTCGGGTTTGATTTAATCAGAAAAGGAGGGAAGTGAATGATTTGTTGATCCAAAAATGTGAATTTAAACCGTAATTAACCCATGATTAATGAGATAACAACAGTTAATGTGGATAATTGCGGAAGTTGGATGGGTAGGGGGCGATTTAACTGCAAGGTCGTGTGTTTAACGGTTACTTAGTGGGGTGCTTGAGAGAAATTGAAACGCAGACTCCTTGAATTCCCATTTCTGGAGATATAAATAGAGGCGCGTCTTCTCTCCCCACTCACTCATCAACACAAACCAGAATTCTCAAGAACGCTCAAGAGCCCGCATCAAAACTTCGCAAATTCCCCGAGCATTAAGCTTAGAAGCTGAGACTTGTCACTACCAATTCGTAAATCGGCGGCCTTTGCTTCAGATCAAGGTAAATTCCTTTGATTTTATTTCATCTTTCTTCGACTTTGCACTCTTTCCCCTTTTTCGACTTTTTCCTTCGAAATTCGTCAATGGTGAGGGGAGTTAGAGGTGGAGCCCGTGCTCCAAGAAGAGCAAGGCTAATCCCCGATCCCAGGGTCAGGATTGGGACCTGGAATGGACGAAGGACAGAGTCTGACCCTGCTGAAGGGGTTAGGGCGACTCCCATTTTCTTCGGCTCCTCCTCAGAGGGCTGAGGGGGTGAGAGCTTCAGGACGGGATGATGAAGTTCCCGCTGTCCTTTTGGGATATCCTCCAGGGTTTTCAGAGTGGGAGGATGCCGAAGTAGCTTCGGCCATGATAAAGAACCGTCCCTACTCATGGTGGGTAGAGAACGCCGATCAATATCGATTTGCTGAGCAAATTGAGTTGCACTACGGCATTTTTGAAGCTGATGGATATTGGTGCCGAATGCCCTCAGCATCCGATAGAATCCATCGTCCACCCCCGGGTATGTGGGGGTGTACACGAGACAGCTTCAGTATGGGCTGAGGTTCCCTTTGGACGTATTCGTCCGAGACTTGCTGATCCATTACAACATTTCCCTGTGCCAGCTGACCCCCACCAGCATCCGAAGGGTAATGACGTACTTATGGGTCTGCAAATTCTTCAGATACGTGCCGAACCTGCACTGCTTCAGAAAGCTCCATCGGCTAGTGCCAAATATTTCAGAGTGGGCACGGAAGCCATGGTTCTGGGTGGTATCGGATTGAGTCTCGGCCCCCGTTCCTAACCATGTGGCCGAACGACTCTTCAGACAAGGACTGGAGAGGTCAATGGATTTGGGTTAGGGCGCCCACGGAGCCGAGCCATCCTTATGTTTTCAGCGCTCCCCGGTATCTTGCCGAGCCGGATCCTGATATGGGAAGTTTAGGTCCTCCCGAAGATAGTGGGCCAGACCCGAACCTTAATCAGCAGAACATCTTCGCAAGCTGCCGAACCGGGGAGGCAGCGGCCGAATGCAGCATATCCCGGAGACTTGGCTCCCCGATACGCACTATGTTTTCCAAGAGAATATGCTGGCAGCTGTCGGCCTCAGCCGAAAGTTTAGGGATGGTAATCTTCTTCGGCTGGGGCGAGGCCTTTTAATTATCTCTTTTCTTCTTTCATTTTGCTTTCTTGTGATGTGCCGAACTAACTGAATTGACTTCTCCCCTTTTCTTTTTCAGAACGGGACGAGACCAACATCGGCATTGATTACGCTCGCCTTGGCGTCAACCGAGAACGAGTCGTAACTGATCGGGCTCCCCCTATCACTGAACCAAGGCGCCGAGAGGTTCACCTAGACTCTTCCCACTTCCAAATTGAGGCTGTTGCTCTGTATCAGAGGCAGAAGCCTTGGTGGAAGAAGAGGGATCCCTTGTTTCAGCTGCTGGAAGAAGAAGCTGAAGCTGCCCGTACAGCCGAAGAGGTTGCACGGGTTTATTGAAGCTTGTGAAGGAGGAGAAGGGTCTCCAGAGCTGCTGAAGCCGAAGCTGCAGCTAGAGCAGCTGAAGAAGACGAGGCTTTGCTGAAGACCTCGGTGAGTTTTTAGACAACTTTTTTCTTTCTTTTTTTTTTTTTTTTTTACTCACACTCTTCTTCCCCCCTGTCTGTTACAGTCTGAAGAGAGTAACAGACACAGAGAAGGCAAAGCTCCTGTTCGTCCCGAAGATCAAATACAAGAGTCTTCAGACTCAGATATGGACGAGCAGCCCCTTCTGAAAAAGGCGCCGAAGGATGGCCATCATCGGCCCTCATGATTTTCAGCAGAGGCCGATGACCATCGGCGTCGCAATAAGGGAACCTGAGGAAGGCAATGGATCGCCGAGGGTTCCCCAGCCAACACCCCAATCTCCTCAAAAGACCCCTCCACCACCTCCTGAGATGGAGGTGGATCAGAGAACTCCCGGACCTAAGGGAGGGGTCCAAGAAGAAATCAAGGAGAGTGCTGCTGAGCACGGAAATAAAGATGCCGTGATGTCAAGTGCTGAAGGCTTCACGGCAGATATCGCAAGAGAGGTTTGAGGCTTTCGTCCTCACCCCTGAAGAAGAGGAGGTCATAGTACTTGACTCCTCTGAGAAGGACGATGCTGAGACAACCAAAGCTAATCAAGCTCCATCGTCGTCCTTCCCTTCTTTCCAGACTCTGCATTCTGGAGAAATGGGTTTCTCGGCCCCCCGAATTCCAATCCCAGATCACATCTGGGACCTCATATGGGGTCAAAACCGAGAAGGAGCTGCAGCCTACTTCGGCAATTTTGCTGGCATGTCCGAAGTAGACAGGGCAAGGATCTGGTCGCTGAAGGCCACTGCTGGGATGGGCGAATCCAGTAGATCAGTTCCTGACCCAGCCAGGTCTAACCAACTGCTGATGATGCAGGTAATTTTCCTTGCCTTGATTTCTTTCTGAACTCAACCTTTCAGCTATTATTTTTTTACTTTTTTAACTTGTGCCCCTGTTTTCAGTTCGTGCACAATCAGACTCTCACTGTAGAGCTGATAGATTCCCTACAAGATAGGGTGGACGCTGCCGAGCACGATCAAAGGGTAGCCGAGGAAGAGCTAAAGCTTGCTAAGCTGAAGCAGGCAGCAGCTGAAGAGAAGCAGCAGGAGGTTGAGGAGTACGGTAAAAAAGCTGCCGAAGCTCTGAAAACCTTCTGTGATGCTATGGAGATGGAGGTTTTTCCCCCACTGATGGAAGGGGAAAAATTCCTCCAAGAGCACCTGGGGGTGGACATCTCCAAGTTCAAGGCTGCTATCGAGAGCCGAATCCAAGGAGCTGCTGCACAGGCTGAGGTGCAGCATCAGCTAGAATCTCTTGAAGCCAGCAGAATGGCTGCTGAAGAGATGCTCCAAGCTAGGGATGTCCAACTCTCAAGGGCTGCTGCTGCTGCTGAAGCTCAAAGAGCTAAGCTACAAGAGGCTGAGGATCAGCTCACTGCCAAGAAGGAAGAAATGGTCCAAGTTCAGGCCGAGGCTTCCCAGGTTCAGCAAGAGTTTACCGAGCTGAAAGGCTCCTCCTCCAAGCTCGTCGATGAGCTGAAGAGATCCGAGGAAGACTTGGAGGAGACGAAGAAGAAGTTGGCCGATGCTGAGGCTCTACTCAAAGTCCGTATCTATACCCAAGAAGAGTATGAAATGGGTTTTAGAAACGGGTTCAGAGTGTGCCGAAGGGTCTGCCTTCATGCTGAGCCGAAGCTGGACTGGTCCAAATGTGCTGAATGGGTCCAAGATCCCGAAGACCCTCACATGAAGTATGCCACTCCAATCGAAGCTGAAATCCTTAAGGCTGAGGAAGCCGAGGAAGAAGCTGAGAGGATGGAGTTGGAGGCTGAGCAGAGGGAAAGGGAGGCTCGGCAGAGTGCAAAGCCTGCTTCTTCTGCTGCTGGAGCTGAGACCACCATTGGGCCCAATGAAGCTGATCAGTCTGATCCTCAGGCTGAAGCATAGGAACTCGGGCAGTCGTCTTCAGAATCTTGCGGTTCATCATGCGCTCAACTTTAGACTTGCCGCTTTTCTGAATTTTTGCCTTTTGTTTTTTTTGCTTCAGCTTGCCTTATCGTACAACAGCTTAATTATATTTTTATTTTGCCTGTACGTATTTCGGCAGCTGTTACTTTCCGCTTGTGGGCGGCTGCCGACTATTTTTGTAATTCAACATTTTTATTTCAAAGAAGTTCACTTTCTCAGCTTTCTTGTGTATTTTTTTTTTTCTTCGCTTTACCAGTCTTCGCACTTTACTGCTTTCTTTGAATGATCTTTCAAATATTTGCTAAGTGCAGAACTTCGGCTAGCGAGAATCATTTCTGCTGAGACTTCTTTTTGCCGTTTGTACTCGGATGTTTTCAACTTGTGAAAAAACTGACATAAGTA